GTAACTAATTCTATCTATGTTTTACTGGTGGTAGGAACTCTTGTGAGTTCGCGCGGATAGGTACCACCACCCTGCCTATTTCTGCCGTGAAGCATTATTTGAGACCTTAGAACTTATATCTCAAGGTGGGTGGCGCTTTTGCGTTGTAGATGGCTATGGGCTCCAGTAACCCCTTAGCACAGGGCGCTCTGTGAGCTCGTCCACCAGTCTAAGAAAAAAAATATGTTGATGTGGTGAGTACCGCTGTATATGACTGCTGAACCTATACTGGAACCTATACTACGATTTGAGTAAAGCGATGTAAAAGTGCTGATGTGAATGCCCTGTACGATACATGACTCGTACAATTGTGTTGAGAAACGATTTCCGAATTCAAGTTGTACTTACAGTAATTCCAACTATAATGCTTATTAAGTTTATGTATAAAATAGTCTATCGAATAAACATTACCTGAATATGTATCCAAAAGTGTTATCAGAAATTGAGTCGGTAGAAAAAATCTGTAGTAAAACCTTATTTATTTTGAAGCTGTAGTTTTTTGGACATTTTGACCTATTTTTTGAAGTGAAACTTCCTTATCGGCGTTGGAAAAAAATTTACCGTCACATTTTTCGGTTACGCGTCACATTTTTCCGTTACGCGCCATCTTTTTTGTATTCATGTCTATGATAATAAAATCCTTTTGTTTAAACTTTATCTAATTTAACTTTTTTGTATTCATGTCTATGATAATAAAATCCTTTTGTTTAAACTTTATCTAATTTAACTTTATTTAACCAATTTCTAGAAAGTTGCATGTAGATCATTTTTCGAAAAATAAGGCCATAAAGAAGTTTCACTTCTTACGTGTGTACACTAGTACACGCACACATTTTTTTTCTATCTAGTAGCTACTAACCTAAAGGGCTATTCTAGGTACACTACCTGACGAGAGCTAGCTACAAGAGTTTTATAACACTGGCCTTAGCAAGAGCAGTGCTTCGTAGAATCTACCACCGAATCGCGACCCACTTTAAAGATTCGACGAAAATCTCAGTGGACTGTGTCACCCGCTACTGTATCATTCGCACTCTAGCCTAAATCCTCTCACTTGGACCACACCACAGAAGAATTGTGTTTACGCAAGTCAAGGAGAAGCGATAGTCGAGTAATTGTAACTGTTTCCTAGATCGAGAATAATCGAGAACGTTCATTACGTGCTAGACGACAACTAACAGACATCGAAACGTATATAAACTTGTATATATATAGATTAGAATCAGTTAGTTTACAGAACTTGGAAAATCGGAATAAAACTGCAATAACGTTTTGATTAGATTTTCCCAGTAATTCTAATGGATAGTTTCTGATTTTTCGTTTTTTTTTTTTATGTTATTAAAGATAGTGACTACGGGGTCAGAGTTCGGTCTTCCTGATCCCCTGATATTTAGTATTCGACAACTGGGCAAGGTACTAGTTTTCCCCCTTTATCCTGGAGAAAATGGAAAGGTCTCAGGGCCACCACCAGTAACTCCTTCAACCATAAAAAGATACTAGTTTTCCGCTCGTCTTAAATGTAGGACGTAAGCAAAAATGATGTGTAGTTTTTTTTTATTCATTTATCAATCGTTATTCGCTTGTAGGCGAGCGTGAATACGCATTTGCGATTACTAATTTAATAGTAAAATCGAAATTTGCGTAACGATAGTTAGCGTAGGATACATTTGAATATGACGACATTAGCCGGATAAAGCCGGGTTTTTTTTTTATTGCCTTTGTAGGCAGACGAGCATACGGCCCACCTGATGGTGAGTGGTTACCGTCGCTCATGGACTTCAGCAATGCCAAGGGCAGAGCCAAGCCGCTGCCTACCGCTAATATTTTGCTATAGTAAATACGACAGTTTGTATCATGATCCTTGTTTGGTACTTATATATAGTAGGTACAGAGAGCGGCTCAAGTATCTTTTAATCTGGGCAAGTGCAACGTTTTAACTGTCAATAATAACTGTCATGTCGCTGGTCCACTTTTATTAAATACATACTAGTAGTTCGTATTGAATTATTTTTAGCAGTTACCACCACTCGGGCTGTTTTTGGCGCGAAATAGTTGCTATTTCCAAACTGAAGGGCGGGAAAGTCGTTAAACAATACAATTGAGACTTTAACCTCATGTCGCAGAGATGGTGGCGGCCTAATGGTGCCTATGGGCTCCAGGTATCACTGTTCAATAAAAACGCCACGTATTTCAGTTTCTTCCTTCTATGTTTAAGTATTTTTTTGGATAATTTGCTACCGATATATTGTTTATTCTAGAGACGTCACGTTGCTGATATATCACTTAAAATCAACATCTTGAAATATTTAGCCAATGTTTTGCGAATGAATGAAAACAAAAGGTAGGTATCCAAATTGAATTAGGTATTCTTTCGCGTATTTTTCACTTTCTTTGTTGGTGATTGTTTTGTTCTATAGTTCCTTTGTGTTATAAATAGTGTTCACCAAATGCTGGGGAGCGTTTGAAGTGTCGCGACCGCAGGACGGAAGAGGTTTGATACAATACGCGGGTTTGCTTTGTAAGGGCGCTTTTTTCCGTACTAACGTGGTCTCTATGGTTGGTTATACAGCCACGTTATATAGCTGGCTGGTTTTTTTTTCCTCTCAACGCTATCAGCATAGATAGGAATAAAAAAAATGCTGGCGTACAATGTGCATTTGTGACGTCATTAGTTTAGTGTCTGCAACCATTGTCTCCGCGTCTGTATGATTTCTTTACTGTTGACAGAAAAACGTATTGAATTAAAAAAAAATAACGAGCTACTTACTATATATACGTTTTGTTTTAATTTAAAAAAAAATATTAATACGAGAAACGGTAAGTCGCTTATTTATGACACTCAATATTCTGGTTTACGGTTCTGATTTTCGATTCAGCGTCTGATTCATAGAGTAAAATCATATTTTAACGTCAGTCGTTTTTCTATTCTTAAAAAAACGTTAATTTATTACGAATGTATAAATGCTATCAAGCTATTACAACTTCCTCAGGTTCTGTGAATCTAGCATGACACTGATTTTTTTACTGGTGGTAGGACCTCTTGTGAGTCCGCACGGGTAGGTACCACCAGGGCAGTAATGCGTTTCGGTTTGAAGGGTGGGGCAGCCGATGTAGCTGTACTCGAGACCTAAGAACTTATATCTCAAGGTGGGTGGCGCATTTACGTCGTAGATGTCTATGTGCTCCAGTAACCACTTGACCAGGTGGGCTGTGAGCTCGTCCACCCATCTAAGCAATTAAAAAAAAAACTTCGAAGTCACTAGAAACGGTAGAAAAATAATAATTGTAACTGACTCTAATGTCTAAATTGATTCTAATAATTAGGTTAGTCACACATACAAATATTATTAAATGCTATATATGTAAAGTAGTTTTATGAGTCTTTTGAATCGAAAACATTAATAAGTTACTCTCGACAATATACTGTATTTTATTCAGGTTTTCGGCAACGCTATGTGCTCTGTTTCTCAATTCCTACAAGAGATGGCGCTAGTTGTCATAGCATTGTGCATTTCAATGAATTCAAATTTCACTAAACCAAATCAAATAATTCGGATCGTACAAAATGTAAGTCCTAAAATAATTATTCAAACATTGCGAAGTAATTGTCCCAAAGATACGTTTTGACGGTGAGGAAGCTAGATCATTAATGTTTCCTTTTTAATTTGACACTATTAAATTTATCTGTGCTTAAAATGTAGGTATTTATAAGCGATGTTTATTTTAATGGTAAAACATTTTTGACTGTAGGACTGTACGAAATCTGTATAGGTATAATCTGTTTAGGTATATGACGACGTTAGTAATTAAATAGAAATGTTTAATTCGAATACTTATTAAGAAGCTGCAATAGTACCTACGACTTATTAATGAGAAGTAACATTAACGATTTGCGAAGTGCTATAAAACTTATTTTATCTATGGAAATAAGCTGAAATGTTTGCTTTCTGTCTTATTTCGGTTTGAAGGGTGGGGCAGCCGTTGTAACTATACTGAGACCTTAGAACTTATATCTCAAGATGGGTGGCACATTTACGTTGTAGATCTCTATGGGCTCCAGTAACCACTTAATATCAGGTGGGCTGTGAGCTCGTCCATCCATCTAAGCGATAAAAAAAAAAAATTCTATTATCACAATGATTGAAATGATTAATTATTACAAAGAGCTGTTTTAGTACGCCCGCGTGTCGACTAATTGTTTTAACTGTAACAACACACAAATTAAAATATCTTTTATAGTATTCGTTTCGTTTAGTATCACACGTATGTTGGTTGCTTTTGATATCCGCATTCGTTTCACGGCCAACATAAATTTTCATTTACTTGTGTACTTTAAAAGAGTATAGTGAAATATTCCACAATTAATAACATACCCGGGACTGAGCAGACTCTTTATATCGCGTCTGTGGGCGATAATGTTTACTTCACGGCCCGTTCTGGCCAATTACTACAAAGTGTTCCTACGCAACGCGTGCTGGCGCTTAAATTAAACCAGTTATTTGTGGAGCGGTCTCCTGGACGTATTTCGGTATAGGTCTAAGTCTAAATTCCGCATATTGTGTCGATCACGTATTGAGTTCAGCGTGCGCTTAGTCTTTTGATTTCGCAGTACTACGGACCTATGAATTCTCCTTCTCGTTTAAGCGCGCTCCGTTGCGGATAGATAATGGCTCATACTTATAGCTAGAGTATAGTCACGTAGGCATCAGGCATGTGCACTTACTAGTGGAGTATATGGCTAGTTACGTAACGACATGCGATGGTCTAGTTGTCGAGTGTTTACAGTGGTCGATGTGTGGCTGTGTGCGAGCGCGAGTGTCGCCTGTCCCCACCGAGCATCGATCCGCTCCGCCCAGCGCTCGCTCCTCCCACCTGCGTCCCCCGCCCCGCGCGCCGTCTCCCCCGCACACCCGCCCGCCTGCCTTTGTCGCACGCCGCCCGCGCTCGGTCACCTGTGTCGCACGTCCTCAGTCGCAAAGCGGCCGCGTCGCGCGGCACCCGCTTCGTAATTTGCGTTTTTTGTATTATGACAGTGACGTGATGGAAGGAAAAGAGTTCGGTGCGGTTCCTGGTTTGCCGGCCGGCCTGGACTATTTTATGATGCCGCGAATCAGTCAGCCCACACCACAGTTCGACTTCAGGAAGCTCGGCGCCAGTTTCAGCGGCCGGAACGATGAGAGAAGCGAAGAGCAACGGCCGATCGAGTACCAGCCGGACCGCCGTGACCCGCCGCCGGCGCCGTGGCCTCTGGGCCTCGGGGTGCAGTTCGTCAACCCCGCGACGGGCAAGAAGAGAGTGCAGTGCAACGTGTGTCTCAAAACATTTTGCGATAAAGGTGCTCTTAAAATTCATTTTTCCGCGGTACACCTACGTGAGATGCACAAGTGTACAGTGGAGGGATGCACAATGATGTTCAGTTCGAGACGATCTAGGAACCGGCACAGTGCTAACCCGAATCCAAAACTGCATTCGCCTCATGTGAGACGCAAGATATCAGCACACGACGGTAGGTCTGCGCAACCGTTCCCATTGCTGCCGGCTTTAGCCCGACTGCCACTACCGCCACCGGCACTCTTGCCACCTGAGCTTGCAGCGCGTCTGCCTCCGCCTTTGACTGGGCCTCCGGGTCAGACACCACTTCCGCCTCGCGTGCCGCTCGACGATCTACGCAATTTCAGTGAAATCGAAAAAATGTACAGAAAGATTCCTCCATCTGAGGACGCTTCCCGAAACGTATTAGACCTGGCCAAGCTACCATCCATGCCTGAAGAGGAGTCAATCAATTACAGTGAAAATAATGATGACGTCTCTGAGGACGAGGACAAAAACAAATGTGATAACAATATCAGATCTCTTAACATTGAAAGGCACAATTATGACGACGAACCTGAAGATTTGTCCGTCAATAAAAAAAGAGAGAGTGATGATAATAAAACAGCTTTAGTTAAATGTGAAACCAGTAGTAATCGCAGTGAACCTCCCACCGCCCTGGACGATAAAGCATCTGTTCCAAATAAACGAAAACGTAAAAGCGGCAACCCTACTCGTTGCTCACAGAATAACGAATACAGTGTTTCAGACGAAGAATATCAAGGGGATATATTTAGGAACTTGTCGACGCCTGGGTCCAGTCGGGCAGACGATGAACCTTTGTCGCTCAAAAAACAAAAACCAGAGGACTTGTTGACATTTCGGAACGGAGAGGAAATTGCTGTGGATACGGAATCGCTGACGCGAGTTAAGGCTGAAAGTGAATCGGACGATGAATCGAGCGCTCCCAGTGTTGTGCGCGAGGGCCTAAGGCTGCGTTCTGATCTATATACGCCAAGTGACAGTGGAAGTGACTTACACGCGATGGAAGAGAGACTCACAAGGGCTCGGTCACCATCGGCCAGCAGTGATCGGACCGACGAGAGGGATGTCAATGAACTTGAAATTCCCATTGACGATGAAAATCCGGACAGGTGTACAGCCTGTGGAAAAATATTTCAAAACCACTTCACTTTGCGGATGCACTATAGAAATGATCATTTAAAATTACTTCATCCATGCGATGTGAATGGATGCGATGCAGCGTTTCCGTCACGAAGGAGCCGCGATCGTCACAGTTCGAATGTTGACCTGCATCGCCGATTGTTATCCACGAATTCGCCCGATGGACGAGAACAAAGACCAGCGTTTGAAGTTAACGCTGATCTACTCAACAAATTATATGCAGACATTAAAGGACTAGCAACGACTCTAGAAAGTCTAAGATACAACGGGAACGAAGAGGCAACACAATTTCCAAGCTACGTCACGGAAACTATGAAATTCTACAGCAGGAATTTGACAGCGTTGCAAGCAGGAATGTTCCCGCGATTCGGCGATCGCAGTTTTTTTCCAGCCCCCTTTCTAATGGGTAATGGAATTCCACAAGCGGGCGGGCCGTATGGAGTGTCAGCTGGAGCACAATCCGCTCGAGAGTCAATGTCCCCCTTGTCTGCATCCTCACCGCCAGTTATCTCGCCTGGCAGATTGGACGCAGCGAACGCCCGTCCCCGAGAAGATGCCAAACTGCTTTTTCGCGAGACTTCAGAGTCTTTTAAGAAAATGACGTCTCTGTGTGAGCGCCAGGACCAACTCTACCAGCACCACGTGCCGGTGTCATGACGAGGTCGTTACCCTCGCTCGCCCTGGTGATACCTCACTTCTTGAAGCCGGCGGCGCGCGAAAGACACTACACATCTTGATTGTTAATAATTTTAAATATTGTGTTAAACCTATTGCGTATTTCGTTTTGTATTTTCCTTGTGATATTTAGACAAATATTATATTGTAATTGTAAAGCCCACGAACTGTAAGTTATAAGGGGTAGTTCAGCTTGGGTGTTCAGTTGGCGTTGTGAAGCGAAGTGCAATACGGACTCGAATATTATAAATATTAATGGACTCTTGTACGATATCGTATCGTGTAGAGTACTCGTAATCGATGTTGAAAATAAGCGCTATTATGATCAGCTTCATTTATTGTTCTAGCGCAATAAACACATTGAAGAAAAAAAAAGTTCGTTGTTTTTATTTCCATCGCTCGGTAAGTTCATGCCGAATCACTGAGATAATCTGGTAATGGATAGTAAAATTCGAATCGTTCAATTACAAATACAATAAGCGACTAAAACCCTAATCCTTGTTGTCTTTCACTATTAATACACAAATAACGTTGCTTCCTAATCGATTAATTCGTTTCAAGCTTTCAGATAACTTAATTCGTTTAACGATTAATAAAAGTGTCACCTATTAGCATAATGGTCGCATATTGAGAGGTTTTTAAGTCGGAGAAATTCTTTGAAAAGTCGTGTCAATTCGAACGTGCCATAAAATACGTTGGTTCCTATTCATTTTTATGAATATTCAATTAACTTGTTTATAATAGAACGTCCAACTAATATACAGTAGCAGTTCGGGTTATTAAATCGGAGAGTTTTTATTTTTGGTATTTATGTTGAAGGGAAAGCTACGTTTGGCGTTGCGATCAAAGCTTTCTTCGATGGCGACGAGGACGGTAGGCTTTGTAAAGCTTAACTTTATTTGTAAGTCTATATTGAGTACTGGTTGACTGTGCTCTTAAAATATGTTCACTACGGTATGAACTAACGGTATGATTAAAATTTTGTACATATCATTTTAAATGCCAATCTTTTGTTTGAAGAATGGTCTTTTTGGTCTATTTGATCTAAAATACATTGGCTGAAAGAAGTTAGACTCGCAGCGAATGTCATCATAAATATATTTTCAAGAAAATCCTTTGAAGAGTTAGAATGACATTCTGTAAATCCAGTCGAGATTATCTTAGAAGTTTACTAAGTAGGTATATCCGATTCAAACTACTACATCTGTGCCCTTGAAATTCACTCAAATTGCCTTTAGTTTATTTTTTTAACCAAAAAAATAAAATCTATCTTGAGCAAATTTGTTGAATACATTTTTTGCTATAATTACAATCCGAATTTATATGTGAGGTACTTACTATGCCCGAAATTTGTTTGAAGTAATACAACTTTATAAACGTTTTAACAGAATCGGAAAGCATAAATACACGAATACAGAGAATACAAAAATGTATTTTTTTCAATTCAATTGCCCAGCCACAAGTTTTTTTTTTTTTTTATTGCCCTTGTAGGCAGACGAGCATACGGCCCACCTGATGGTGAGTGGTTACCGTCGCCCATGGACTTCAGCAATGCCAGGGGCAGAGCCAAGCCGCTGCCTACTAAGTAACCGAGAACATTTGAAACTGTGGTATTACGCGTCAGTCTAAAACTTGCGACAATACGAACAATGTACCTATAGGAATTATGAGAGTGATTTTCGTTATTAATTTCAAATAATTCACTGCTCACGGACAATCAGTTCGTAGAGTACGTATTCAATGGAAAACCTAGCTAATAATTTTGACCTCCATGAATTAAAAAAAAAAAATGGTTCCTATAACGAAAAGGTGTAATTATCCGAGTCGCCTGTCCATTGCCGTGAGAAAACCACACTAATTGTTACAAGATACCAGTTACGATATAATAACAGAGCGACGGCCGAAATGCTAATTCTTAAACGCAAATCACACTGACCGGACAATATGCTCCACTTAAAACATTTTCTAACCTGAAATAAATCGATTGTAATTTATAGTCTTTTAATTTAATCTTCAAAATTTCCCATAAATTTTTTGATATTGCTTTCTTAAAAGTACCTTTGAATAATAAAAATCGACTGTATCAATCATCAGCCATTTAAAATATGGAAATCTAATAAAGACAAAGAAATCAGTTAAATATTATGTAATTGTAACTGAAGTAAAATCATTACCCAAAAAAAAGAAATATGTTGAATTTTGTTAACTTGTTGTAAAAATGTTAACTTTTCATTTTCAAAGCTTATTTTTTCCACCATAACGGCTCTTGAGCATAAACTCCGTATTTGTGGGCTAGCCTCGCTTCGTTTCCTCAAATTTTCATAAGAAATTTGTCATGGCTGTTCCGTTTGAACTATTCCATAGCGTACGTAAATTATATCATTCAAGCGTTTATTTTTCTCAACTAGGGTCCCACATAAAAAATGATCGCCATTATGAACCCATCAAGGATTTGGCGTACGGTGTGGTTCATTACAAACATAATAATAGGGTTCTGTTAAAAGACAAAACGTTTTGAATTATTATGGAATTCATTTATCAAAACATAAGACACACCTAAAGTATAAGTTTAGGTTTGCCATTGACGAGAACCTCACATCAGAGCAGCTTTCCACTTAGTGTTAGCTAGCTTAAATGTTTAGCGTACCTATGGTTAATGTAAGTGATGACCTTTGCAACTGTAGTTAATATTAAAATGATTTTTCTAATTATTTTTTATTGTCCTAGTAGGCAGACGAGCGCACGCCCCACCAAATGGCGAGTGGTCATCATCGCCCATGGACTTTAGCAATGCCAGAGGCAGAGCCAAGCCACTGCCTACCCTTGTCCCATGATATCACTTGAACGATGAGTTACGAGTCTGATTCGGCAAATGTTTGAGCACTAGTATCGTCTATTAAAATACATAGATACAGCTATTACTGATTCTACATACCTATTTGTTTTTCATACGCTACAGTTAAACTTGCAGCTAAATTTGGAATAAAAACACAGTGGAGTATGTTTTTAATTTTTACTATTGAATGCATATGTGATGTTATTTTAAAACTTAACCTATTTTGAGTTAGAAGTAATGCGGGCTTAGTGCACCTCTAAGAGTGATATTTCAGACAGAACTATTAGCGATCCGTAAAACAATGAGCTACTATCCTGTTTCAAGGGAAATAATTAGAAGCGAATACTTATCAAGTACCTTTTAGCAGTAATTAAGAATGATTTCACTTTCTATACATAGCTAAGCTCTTCATTAAATTTCCTTTCAACGACTACCTTTCTTAATTCTAGTACTCTATTATAAATTTTCGGTTCTATTAAAGAGTTTTTAATCAATTTTAAAACATTACATCATTTTTCTTCATTAAATTCAACCTTATCAAGGTCTTGAAATTGAAATATGAAATATGAGCTTCTTGGAAAGGTCTTATCTGATTTTGAAATTTATGTCCTATTTATTTTTTTATTGCTTAGATGGGTGGACGAGCTCACAGCCCACCTGGTGTTGAGTGGTTACTGGAATCCATAGACATCCACAACGTAGATGCGTCACCCACCTTGAGATATAAGTTCTAAGATCTCAGTACAGTTACAACGGCTGCCCCACCCTTGAAACCGAAACGCATTACTGCTTCACGGCAGAAAATAGGCAAGGTGGTGGTACCTACCCGTGCGGACTCACAAGAGGTCCTACCACCAGTAAGAAGTCTGTATCTGTCTGTATCTAATGTTGTATACCGAGCTTAAATAAATAAATTTACTTAACAACGGACAAGACAACTAACGACGAACTATACACAATATAAATCTAAATTTAATATTAATTTCCATAGACACAAGACGCAGATATAGCCCCGGGGCGCAAACTCGCTCCCCGGCTTCCAATTTCCAGATTATTAATTAGGATCTTGACAAACTGTGCGGTTGCACATGGAGACCCGGCCGGGACAGGGCCGTGGGGACTTCGGTCAACATTATACGATCCATGGAATACTTGTCAGGGTAAATTTCTGTTTGCGTAATGTTTCGAAGCACGTGTCGTTTATTTAGGTACCAATCGAAGTAGAAATGGAACGAAATAGATATCATTTATCGAATTACTTAGCTGAAAATTAAAAAAAAAAAACAAGCAATTACTAAGGTAATGAGCGTCAGTAAAACTACTCCTGTTAAGTGGTTACTGGATCCCATAGACATCTACAACGTAAATACGCCACTCATCTTGAGATATAAGTTCTAAGGTCAAGCCGTTGTGACTATACTGAGACCTTAGGACTATACCTCAAGGTGTGTGGCGCATTTACGTTGTAGATGTTTATGGGCTCCAGTAACCACTTAACACCAGGTGGGCTGTGAGCTCGTCCACACATCTAAGCAATAAAAAAAAAAGTATAGTTAAAACGGCTGCCCTACCCTTCAAACCGAAACGCATTACTGCTTCATGGCAGAAATAGGCGTGGTGGTTGTACCTACCCGTGCGGACTCACAAGAGGTCCTACCACCAGTAAAACTTAAAACAATAAAACGAGATTTTGACCTCACGCCTCAAAGTGGATAACGACTCATACTTTGTGGCGTATATGAGCCTCGTAGTTATTAAATACAAAACGGAGTGAGAGTGCATTTGTATATTAGCAACATATATAGGTATAACTATATATACATACAAGTACAATACCAGTTTTAAAAAACCATAAGGTTAGCGGTGCATTTCTAGATATCTAGATCTAGATAGATAAAAGTTAACAAAGGCTTAATGTGTCAATTTGAACGCATAATGTTCGCTCTAGTCCGGTCTGTTGTTGTCTGTATTCTTCCTCTTTTTAACGCTTTTAGAAAAATATATTATACTATATAAAATAATATATATATAGATAGAATAATACGCAAAAATATATAAGTGTACCTACCGCTGCCATTATAATGCATCCCTACCGACACTACGTACAGTATGCATTCAACCTTAATCGATGATAGATCGTCCATATAAGAAAAATACATATTATACATCAAATATTGAGATTTAAAAGATGATTGGCACTTTCCCATCACCATCAATACCTGTAACAGAAAGCTTTTTAACTGACTATGAATAATAATATAGTATTCGATATGTGTCAGGTCTCTTATTCAATGTTATACCAGGCTAATCAGATGATTATGTTTTTACAATTCTGTTTTTGATTTAGTGTTGTGAATTAGTAAGCCGCAGGTTAATTTATATGTACCTACGGAATTTTATTTGGATTGATGAGTTTATTTCATCTTATCGGCTTAAGCATACTCTTTTGCTTTTGTTTTTAAACATATTTTTTCTGTTCGTAAATTTTAGTGTTTTATTATTATTATTAATACTTTATTTCAGT